GAGGATGCAGCCTGCCTAAACAAGTGGTTTTCAGGGTCTTTGGAACTTTCACCACTTCAGGACCATTCAAGATTTTCAGACTTGAATGGTCCTGAAGTGGTGAAAGGTTTGAAGACCTTGAAAACCACCCGTTTAGGCAGGCTGCATCCTGAAGCGGTGAAGGGTGTCCTGAAGTGGTGATGAAAAATACGACTGTTGTTAACCTTCTCTCCACTTACCTACTCTCATGTCCGAAAGGTCCCCCACTATGAAGACACCCCTTTTGGCCCATCCCAACCAATGAGAGTCGTGCTTGATAGAGAGCGAGAACAGAATATGGGGATTCCCAAACCAAGGCTGTCTCCAGACTTCTTGCCACTGTGACGGTGGTGGCAATTTGTTCGGACTGATATCCCTGCATACTGCAAGGATGGAGGTGCGAAGAGGATCATTGGCTAGGTTTGACTTCGTGGCCGTTATGAAAGATTCCCTGGCAACCATATTGGGACTACTTGGGATGGACCACCCTGGATTTGTGAGTCATGCTACGGGGTGAATTGGTCTTTCCTCTGTTGTGTCGGGGGCTAAACATCGCAATTGAATACCGACCAACGATTCCATGGAATATGATCGTTCCCCATCAGTAATCGAATTATAACTTTGAAGACCAAGACTTTGATTTTCCTTTCCGGGTCGATGATTCCTAGACCCCCTTTGTCTCTTGGCTGGGCTAGCTAGGCGCATGCTACCCTTTTGATACAAGTCCTTAGTTCAATCCATGAACTAAGGACTTGTATCAAAAGGGTAGCATGCGCCTAGCTAGCCCAGCCAAGAGACAAAGGGGGTCTAGGAATCATCGACCCGGAAAGGAAAATCAAATTCTTGGTCTTCAAAGTTATAATTCGATTACTGATGGGGAACGATCATATTTCATGGGCCTCGTTGGTCGGTATTCAATTGCGATGGACAGGAAACATTGTTGATGACTAGGGCCCTTCCCACCAACAAAGTGTGCAAGCCTTTCCATTTAGTCATGACTTGGATTGCGTTTTGGACGAGGCGGTCTTCATGGTCCGCGGGCGGGCCGAGGGCCGTGAGTCTTACTCCTAAGACCCGTATGACTTCTTCTCTTGGTTTCCAGTTGACCGGTGGGTCATTTGGGGGGGGCTCCACTGCTGTATGGATCCACCACCCTTCTGTTTTAGAGTCCCGGTTGACCTTCATGTCTGCAGCGATGGAGAAAAGGTGGATCGTGTCCGCCAAAGCCGACATGCTAGAGGGAGAGACTTTGATAAGGACTGTGAGATTATCTGCACAAAGGGAGGTAATCGGGACCAGGCGCAGTGACAATTCTGGTATATCGATTCGTTGTATTGCAAGGTTCTTTAATAAGGGAGACAAACACTTCCATAACAATCACAAAGAGCAATGGTGCTATGGGGTCCCCTTGTCTCACTGATCTTTGCAATTGCAACAATGCCGAGAAATGACCATTGATCATATGTTGGTGGTCGCTGACTGGTGCAGGGTATTGATCCATTGTCTAAAACCTGGTCCAAAGTTCATTTTTTTGCAAGTACTGGTCCAAGAATTGCCAGTCCACATGATCGTATGCTTTTTCAAAGTCGATAAATAAGATCGCTGCATCTTTCTTACATTGTCGCGCGTATTTGATGGTCCAATTCACCAATAAAACATTATCATGGATGTGTCCGTTGTGGCATGAACCCTGTTTGGTCCACATGAATGAGATGGCCTATGTGTGGTAGGAGTCTGTTGCACAACGCTTTGGCCACTATTTTGTAAGGGAGGGGGAGCAGTGTGATTGCCTGGTAGTTTCAGACCTCTGCTATGTCCCCTTTTTTGTATAAAAGCGTGGTGACACCCTGCCCCATCAAATCCCCAAACCTCCCTTCGATCTGGACTGTTTGGATGTATTCAAGGAGGTCAAGATCAAAGATTTCCCAAAAGTGAGCCCAAAACTCCTTAGGTTGCAAAAAGTTTTTCTCGCCGCAAGCAAAATCCGGAGGCGCAGCGCCGCAAAGAGGGCCATTGAAAAAAAAAAATTCAGCAGCTTTCGAAGTGGTGCGGGTTTTCATGCTGACACCCGTGGGCCAATGCATGGTGTGCTGGTGCTTCAATGGGCCAGTCGTTGTGCCTCCGCTCCTATCCCCTCCCCATTCGATCAGCAACAGTCCCTGCTCAATGCAGCTCGGGGGGACCAATGACCTATCTCTAGGGCGCGGGCACCAAGCTTGGCGAGGAAGGTACATGGGAAAATGAGGATTGAACCCAAGACCTCGTGAATGCCACTTGCGTGCGTTACCAACTGAGCTACCTCATAGGTAAGGCCGCTGATACATTTAGGACACTCCTACGGGCGACATATCATCATTGAACAAGGATTTTTTTCTTGGGAATCCTCATAGCACTACATCTAAGGTCTGTTCTGACAAAGGGGAACGGCGTTACCGGGCGGCATAGTTTAGCGCTCCGGTAACTCCGTCGTTGCGGGCGGCTAGCACCAGCAACACTACCTTACCGAAACCTTCGCCATCACAATGAAGGTGGGGAGCCGTGGAGCACACGTTCTCTTCGGGCGTGGGGCTTGCCCGTATTGCTGCCATGTCATCTGGGTAGTCCATAGCCAATATAGGAATGCATAGTTCTTTCGTTTTCATCAACCATCCTCAGTTTTGGAAGGGCCAGGTGCCATGAAGGCGCTTAGCGTCCAGTTGGTCAATCCAGTTCTACGTCTGCGCTCGATGAAAGGGGTAAACTCTTTGGGGTATTCAAAGTAGGAATTAGGGTTGAGTTACCCGCGGTAATCACGTTGGTAGATCCAAGTGGCTTGACGGGAAGGGGGTATTGTGAGCGCACAACACCATTACCGCCTTTTACCTCAGTCATTCGAAAGGTGAGGAAACCAAAGTGTCATCCTGTGCTGCGAATTTTTGCTTAGTCATTCGAAAGGTGAGGAAATCAAAGAGTCGACCTGTGCACATCCGATGGCGATGTGAGGTTGGATCTAGGGCATGGAGCGGGGAAGCACATCAGGTAAAAAATTATCATGGTAGGTTGAAGGGGAAGCACGGGAGTGGTAACTCCGCAGGAAGTGACATTGAACCTGATTTGGCTGAGAAGATGACGGGTAGCAACCGACTCTCATAATAGGTTTCAGAGGGATAGGCGGCACGCTCCTATCGAACTCGATTGGGCTAAGGTGTGTCAGTGAAGCGAAACGGCTGCACCACTCGGCGTAATCAATGTCGTCAAGATAAAACTTGGTGGGTTGGATGGCCGGAGTATAACATGGACGACCCAGAACGCGTCACCAGAGACCTGGGAAGCAGTAAGGGCATGAAGGTAGGAAGAACGTCGGAAAAGGCCAACCCGAAACACCTCAAGTAACCGGATACGTTCTTTCGTACACATCGGATGAAGAAGTGGAAGCGACCGAGCACACGGTGTCAATGTTCACTCTCGGTAAGAAGAAGGGGAGGGCGTGTGTAGGGTAACATTTATGTTACCAAATTCGAATTTGATCTGGCCCGGAAGGAGGAGTGTTGAGAACGACTTTCTTAAAAGTCCTAGAGTGGCATTGTGCACTCATTTATCGAGGTCGACCTGTGTATGGGGGCAGAGGTGATAAACGTAACCGAGGGCGTCTGACTCAGCAGTTCCCACATGAGGCACTGTAGCTCATCCGGAGAATAGGTCGTACGAGGACGGAGCCTTGGTGGTTCTTTGGGGAACAAGATGCTTTCATAATCCGGTGTTTTGTGCTCCGTTCTTCGGTGCTACGCGAGCTTGACACATAATGCTGTGGGGCGGCTTGAACAAGAAGGCTTGGCGCTATGCTGGTGTCCATGTGTGGCCTGTGCTCTGTGCGTAGGTTGAGACTTAATTTTGTTGATTTCGTGTTCCTGACACCGCGAACCTTGGTGCTTGATGCTTCGTTCACTGCACTCCGAGAAGTGGGGTCTTCTTGCTCCATGTTTCGGAGCCCCATCCTTCGTTCTCCGTGCTCGTGCTCTGTGCTCCGCACTCTACGTGCTGGGTGCGCCGTGCTCAATTCTTCGGTACAAAATTGTTTGGTTCTTTGTGCCCCATACTCCGTTTCGTGCTTAGTGTTCCGCTTTTGGTGAGCTCGCTGCTTCGTTTCTTTGGACTTGTTTCGTGCTTCGGTGCTCCGTGATCCGTGCTTGGTGAATGCGTCATGCTTCATGAATCGGGAAATTGGGGTTGTCGGGTTAGTGTGCTTAGTACTCCGATGGTTGGTGCCTAGTGAATGGGGGCTACGTGTTTCGGGGTTTTGGGACGAGTGTTTCGTGAATTGGCTCTTCGTTCTTCGTGCATCCGTGCTTAGTACTGAGTGCTTCCGAAATTGGTACTCCGTTCTCCACGGATCGGTGCTTGGTACTGCGTGTTTCGTGAATTGGTGTTCTGAACTTCGTATGTGGGTACTTGGGGCTTCGTGCTCTGACGTGACTTGGGTACGCCGAGATCCATGATTCGTGTATTGGGGCTCAAGCACGGACAGGGGTACCTGGTTTCAGAGTCGGACCTTAGTTAATTCCCCAAGTCCGCACATTGCCTCCCTTTCCCACACTACTCATTTTCCACCAACTCGCTGCTGGCTAGAGAAGGTAATGAGCAGCTCTTCGTAATGTCTTAAACTAGTGGGAACCACTGAAGAGTAACACGAGGAGTCTCATGGATCGGTGTGTGGCACTGCGTGCTTCGCGAATTGGTGCTCTGAGCTTCGTGGATGGGTGCTCTGTACTCCGTGCTTAGGTGGGACTTGGGTGCGGGGCGTTCCGTGCTTCGGGAATTGGTGCTCAAACACGGACAGGGTTATCTGGTTTCTCAGAGCCAGAGCCTGGCTAACTCTCCCAAGCTCACATATTGCTTATTTTCCCACACTGGTCCTTTTCCCACCAACTTGCTGCTGGTAGGGGAAGGTAATGAGCAGTTTTCCGTACGGTCTTAAACCTGTGGGCTACTACTGAAGAGTAACGTGAAAGTCTGCAAGGTCGCCTCCGTTTTTCTTCGATCCATAGCAAACGTAGTGGATACAACAGGAGCTCTTCATCCAAACCCACTCACAATGGAGGAGAACAGATCGAGGATCAGAGAGTCGGTCAGCAGATGCTACGACGAAGGGGTTTGTCCAGACGACTTGCACCTGGGAGAAGTGGTGGAGGATGAAGGGGGCAAGCGGTTCGTGGTGAACGAGTTGGTCAATGAGGTTAAAGACCAATGGCTGAAAGAGAGATCCGTAATAGTGGTGTTCCAAGGGGAGGCACGGTCCTTAGCCAGATCAGTAAAAGAGGACCTGATCCGTGCATACGAGGATGGGTGGACAACAAGAAGACTCTTTCACCCAGACACGAGGCGAGGTAGAGTCAAGTTCGAAGGGGCCAACGTAGCCTCCTACGTTGCTAAGGCGAAGGAGATCGCAGAATGGCTTCTACAGGAGGGAGAACTGAAAATTAAGCTTGGTTCGAAGGAATACCAGGTGCTATTCAAACCAAGACTGTCGTCACAAGAGTTGCAAGAGGCGAGATTGCAGGAAGCGAAAACCAGATTCTGGATCATGGCGCTAAGAGTTCCACTGGATGCGTATTATTACCTGAAGAGCGCCATGAGGGGTATGTTCAGAGAAGTTGTGGAGATGCATAATCCAGAGTATGACAAGGACAGGCCCAAGCTCATGAATGTTAAATTTGATATGCCGCCGAAAGCCAGAGAGCGCATCGATGATGACCTGGTGATTGAGTCACCCAAAGGCGAACGTTGGAGAGTGGACATTGTATCCCCTTACACCGACTGGTGCCGTTGGTGTAAGTGGTACTATCACACTTAGGAAAACTGTCCTCGACGCCAGAATGAGGACAGTCGCAGAAGCAACGGAGATAGGCAAGGAGGGCACAAGGCAAGGTTCTGGGAGTACCTGATAAATCAAGTCAGGGACCCCAGGGACAACAGGGGGAACAACCCGGAGGAAGACCACCCACAACGATAGGCCACTCCTCAACCTCATCCGAGCTCAAGCCGAACAGCAAATGTATCCCGACAGAATAGCAGCCGTCTGCAACAGAACCAAGCACAAGTACCCTCGTGCTCTCTTCGGCAAGGACCAGGTGCACTGTCCCAAGGTCCTCTCAGCAGAAACCACTTTCAAACTCAGGGGGGGATCGGCTACAGGTGGACAACAAAGACAGGCAACAGGTGAAATCCTAAATTGGAGAAGAGACCAGATGTGGGGAGAGGAACAAGCAAGAGGACCGAGTCAATCCCTGTTGCCCCAGTGGGCTTTCAGGGATGAGTGGCCTGGTGGCTACGCAAGTGTTCCGCAAAGGGATGGCTTTTTAGAGGGAGGATACCAAGGCCCACCGAACCTGGCCATCTGGCAGGACCGGCAGGGTTACCAAGTGCCAACAGATGAAGGGTTGTCTTACCACCAGCAACAGTACCTGCCAGGCCAGGAGCCTAACATTGGTTTGGGACACAGTGCTATCGAGCACCCTCGACCCAGGTACTCTTCAACTGAGTACGACTGGAGGCAATTAGCTGGCCAAGAACAGGAAAGGCTCCAACAGATTCCCGAAGGGCCCAGGTGGGAAGGGAGCGGTACCTCAACCAGAAGACGCCACAGATCCCTCAAGCCAAGGTGGGACGCACAAGGGGAAAACAGCTGGAGGAACAGGGGTGAAGTTTCTCATTCCTGGCGGCAAGGACCGGCACACTTGGTCCCCACCATTCGAGAAGGGGCGAAGGAGGTTGCCAGGGGAGGGGGCCCAGGAATTCCTCATTCCAACATCTCAAGACTGAAGGAGGAACTTTCGAAGACCTCCTTGTCATCTCAATCGAGAGTGAGGTGGGGGAAGCGAACGGGAAGAGGAGGAAAGGGAGAAATCGGGTCCCTCCTCATCGATGGAGAGTTCAGCGGGCTCAGGGCGAAGGCAGCGGGGGAATTCAAGGCATGCCTTTGACAAGAGCAGGAGAACGGTTGCGGTAGAGAGAAACCAAATGGAGATGGTGCAGAGGTGCCTGGCCCCAGTATTGCGTACCCAAACGGACAGTGGAGCTTTCTTTCTGACAACCACAGATACGGAAGGCTTCCCGCTGCTCCCCTCAGAGGAGGTGGACCACTCTCCCACTCCCGCAAAAATTCTTGAGGTAACCAGAAGACTCTATGGAACACATGTGCCTGTTCGGCTGATCCCTCACTTCACGATGGCGAGCATAATGTGCAAAACTGTACAGGGGTACAGGAAGATTTACTTCCCGCTGTTGGATGCTCGCATACCTCTGGAATCGGTGAACTTGTTATCACAGGGGGGGATCCGCTGGTTCCACACAGACGTGATACGGGAAAGAAACGCACAAGAGCTGGAGCTCATCAAAATCTTGTCTGGGATCTCCGCCATGGGACTGCTGAAGGTCAACGAAAAGCTCCTGATGGAAGAGAATTTCCATTCTAGTTACCTGGTGTCGAAACTGACAGAAGAATGGCAATCCTCCTCACACACCAGCTCGTCAAGGGCGAGCCTGAGTCAACAGCAGTCCAGAAGAAGCTCCGAAAGAAGAGGCATACATGGCCAACAACAGTCTGGAGATCAGTCCTCTCCCCGCATCCAACCAAAGGCGGGTCCTACTCAGGCTAATGATAGACAAACTTAGGGTGGTGACCTGGAACGTGAGGGGACTAGGGGACACGGATGGTAGGGAGAAGAGAGGAAGACTGAAATCATGGATTCACGAGTGGAAGGTAAAGTGCATATTTCTGCAGGAAACTAAGCTAGACGAGACCAAACTGAAGATCATGACAGCGTGGTGGGATGGGCCGCAGGTATGGGCCCCAGCCCGGGGGACCAGAGGTGGGGTGGCGATCCTGCTGCACAGGGACCTTCAGGCCAGAGTGGTGGACTCGGAGGCAGACCTGTGGGGAAGGTGGGCGTGGCTGAAGGTGGAAGTGGCGAACGAGGAGTGGGTGTTTATGACCGTGTACGCCCCGAACGGAGTAGGGGAGAGAACCAGGTTTCTAGCAAGGTTAATGCAGCACATTCCAAAGACAGAGAATTTGCTGTTGGGCGGTGACTGGAACCTCTCGCTGGACGAAGCCATGAGAGTGGATTCGCCGCAAGCGGACAGGAGTGACGTCCAAGCCCTGATGGGACTATGCACCGAGTTGGCACTTGTGGACCCGTTTCCAGCATTGAACCAAGCGGATCCTGGGTACACTTGGTACTCGCACCTACACAGGGATGGTCGCCATATCATCAGGAGGAGATTAGATTATTTTCTAACAGGGGAACATCTGCAGAACCAGGTAACAACAGTCCGTACAGTCTGCCACCCACTATCGGATCATAAGCCAGTGGTAGCAGACATCAGGCTAATCCTAAGTGCAACTAGAGGGCGCGGTTTCTTCCGTCTAAACAGTCAGGTGTTGGAGGAGCCAGGGGTGGGAGAATGGGTAACCAAGCATATGGAGAGCTGGAACCGAACACAGTCACACTTTGAGACCAAGGCACAATGGTTGGATGGTGGGTTAGCAATCACCTCAGGCATCCTGGACGTCATTTCTAGAATCCTCGCAAGCGAACGGAACAGGAAGGAGGCAGATTGCAAGAGAAGGGTAGAAGAGGCAGAGGTACGCATGGAGGACCATCCTATATCGGAAGTAGTATGGGCCACTGACAGGGAGAAAAGGCTGAATGAGTGGGACAAGCTGCAAGAAGAGAAGCACAGGAGGTGGTCAGAAATTTTGAAAGTCAAGGGCATTGAGACCAGCGACAGATTAACAAAGGAGAACTTTCAACGTCTGATGCCACGTCGAACGCAACATCAAATGGTGGAGCTAAAGCACCCTTTCAACCGTTCAGCGCCGACTGCTAGTAATGTTGCAGGCATGTTGCACTACGCCAAGCTGTACTACATGGACATCTTGACCTCTAGAAGTCCCCAACAGAGTGTGAACTTGGATCTGTCCAGGGTCTCAGACATGTGGGAGGACACTATAGTGAGGCTGCAACCCAACGCCAGGCTAGACTTGGATAGACCGGTCACGATAGAGGAAGTGAGGCAGACGCTCAAGTCTATGGCTAAAGGGAAATCTTCGGGGGCAGACAGACTTACGGTTGAATTTTATGCGGCCAACTGGGCGGCGTTCGGTCCTGCACTAGTGGATCTGTACAACGAGGTCCTAGTGGGAGGTAAGCTTGGTAAGGGGATGACACACGAAATAATTTCTGTGTTGTTCAAGAAGGGGGATAAATCGGAGGTGCGGAACTGGAGGCCTATATCTCTCCTGAACGTTTCATACAAACTGCTAGCGAAGACGCTGGCACGCAGACTGTCGAGGTACCTACCGGAGCTGGGATCAAGGCGCTTTCGTGCAAGGAAGGTCAATCTTCAACAACATTGTCACGGCCATTGAGACGCTGGAAGTGGTGCAAAAGGAAAATCTGGATATGGCGATCCTTCTCCTGGACCTGGAGAAGGCGTATGACAAAGTGGGCTGGACCTTCGTCCTCACCACCCTGCGGAGAATGGGATTCAGTGAAGGATTCTGCGCCTGGATCATTGCAATGTACACGCACTCCACTTCGTCGGTGATGATCAACGACCACCTATCAGACCCTTTCTCGCTCTCGAGATCCCTGAGACAGGGCTGCCCGCTAGCTCCCCTGGTCTTTGTACTCCAACTGGAAGTGTTGCTGAATAAAATCCGCAAGCACCCGAGCATTCGCGGCCTACGTCTGCATACGGGCGAAGAATGCAAGGTGAAGGCTCTAGCGAACGACCTCTTCGCAGTGAGCGAAAACTCAGAGTTGTCCCTTTCGACGCTAAAGGGAGTCATGATGGATTACTCCAAGCTGTCCGAAGCGTCTGTCAACTGGAGCAAATCGGTGTACCTCCTTCCGGCGCAGTTTATGTTGAGAGTGGAGTGGGGCATGAGAAGAGTGGAAGTGGGCGAAGAAGAGAGGTTTCTGGGGGTTCTTATCAGCCTCCAGTTTGAATTCACAGCGCAGGGCCTACTTTTGCAGCAGCGCATTTCAGCAAGGCTCAAGAGTTGGTAGTGACTTGGCACCTGTCCCTGATGGGGCGGGCTCTCGTGGCGAATGTGGCACTCTTCTCAATTCTCTAGTTCGTATCAACTGTCAGAGAGCTGGCGACGGGGATCATAAGAGCAATCAAGAGAATGGTAGGACGCTTCATTTGGAAGCCCCAGGCACGACTGACCGAAGGTTTCATCTCCAAGGTAGCGTTGGACACTCTTTCTTTCCCGCGGGCCAAAGGAGGTCTGGGTCTTTTTGACCTCGCTCGCCGAAACCAGGCGCAGCTGCGTGATTGGGTGGCCAAGCTGGCCACTTTAGCAACCAGAGAGCACTGGGTGGGAATTGCAGAGCGCATACTGATGGGTGAATGGGTTTAAGCAGGGCGCAGGATGTATGGGACTGTTTTTTCATCCCGTCTTTTCGCAAGAAGAAACTCAGGTCTAGCTTTTGGGAACTGATCAGGAAAGCGTGGAACTGTCTCCCACCGGATCTGCAGAGGCCCCCGAGCACGAAGGAGGAAGTGTTGAAGCAGATGCTGTTTGAAAATCCAGAAGTAAAGGACCGACAGGGGCGGGCTCTCCTTCAAAGCGGACGGGTCCACAGGCTCGTTTGGCCAGGCCTGGGTCAAGCAGGGAGTAGTCCGAATTTCGGATCTGTGGTCAAGGTTGCTGGGAGGTTGGAAGCCCCTGGAGGACTTCAGGCAATCGCTCATACTCGGAGGCCTATAGAGGGTGGAAGAGAACTGGAGGACCTTGCTCCAGGGTATGCCACAAGATTGGCTGACGCTGTTAGGACCAGAGGGGGTGGACCCAGAGGGCACCTGGTACGTCCCAGATCAAGTGGAGGAACCGGATGTGTTATGGAAAGTTAGTGAGGTCCTCCCCAGTGGCTTCAGACGTATCAAGCGCTGGCGTTGTGAAGGCCCAACAAACTTTTTACTTTTGGTAGAGCAAGACACGATCTTCAACTGGAACAACCCAGTGCAAGCAAGAGTGATAGAAGTACGGAGCAAAATATCTTCGGCCCATATTCTCACATTGGTAGGAAGACGCCAGCTCAACGAACTCTGTGTAGATCCATCTGCATGGAGTTGGTCTGCGGAACGAGGCGGGGTGGCAGCCTTGAGTATTGGGGACTACTCGGTCGATCTGGGTTACCGACAGCTCACACGGAAGATGAAGACCCCAGCACAGGTAGCAATTCCACGCTGGCAAGCGATATGGGAGGAAGACCTGTCAGGCGCAGAAGCTGAGTTTGAAAGGCTTTGGGAGTGCCTGGCCAACCTCCCGAACGGCAAGCAAGTCAGCATCCTCTGGATGCTCTCCCTACTGGTCTCCCCTTCAGCAGTGTGGCTGACGAGCAGGGGGACGGAAGTAAGCCTCGCATGCACAAGATGTAGGTGGCCTTTCGAATCCACCAGACATCTGTGGTGGGAATGTCCCGCCTCCAAGCGCATCTGGACCTGGTGGGAGCATCACTGGAAAGAATGTGGCGGGACGGGAGTGGAGTGGTCTGAGAAATGGGTACTCATGGGATTTCTCCCACCGCATGTAGAAGGACATCGAGGCTGGGGCTATGTCGCCCATGTGGTCCGGGGCCTGATCTGCGAGACAATTTGGAAGGACAGGAATAGGTCGAGATTTGACAGACGACCCTTTTCGGACTTGGAGGTTAAAGGGCACATCAAACTGGGCCTAAAACAAGCCATCCGGGCGGACTGTAGGCGCAGAGCCAAAGCAGGGCAAGGGAACAGGAGCCAACTCCGTTGGTTTCGTCACACTTGGGCGAAGAGCACTCAGTTAGTGTCGGTTCACCCAAGGGAGGGCTTGATTTTCTCGGACTGGGTGCTCAACAAGACACCAGTGCGAAATCAGCACCGTGGCAGGGTAGCAGGAGAGAGAGAAGTCTAGGGGTAGTACGGGGCCGTGGCAGTCACCAGGACACTCGGTGAGGTAGGGCCGCAGTGGGCCGATAGGGGAGTGTCTGTAGGTCCGGACGTTTGTCCTCTGGGCCGCGTTAGTCCCAGACGTAGGTAGGTAGTTAGTAGTAAGCTAAATAAAGCAGGAAGTCCATTCTCCAAGATGTTCAGAGTTTCCTATTCCTCTATTTACATGTGGATTGAGTCAGGCAAGGTATATGTATAGCTTCTCGCAGTAACTGCGTTAAGTATGGTGAAACAGATAGGGATTCGGACAGATGGAGTGAAGAAGGTTTCTCAGGCAAGAGCCTGAGCGCTAAGCTGGCTGATGCTGTCAGATACCCCGGGTTGAATTGTGAGGTCCCCGGCCTCAAATTGATATTTGCAATTAAAAGTGACTGATTTGTTGAAAAAAAAAAAAAAAAAAAAAAAAAAGGTCTGTTCTCAGCAGCTACATGGGCTGGGGGTCCCGATTTATGCGTGTCATCCTTGCGCAGGGGCCATGCTAATCTTCTCTGTATCGTTCCAATTTTAACGGATGTCCCGAAGGACCGGGCAGGGGGTCCCAAATGATCTTTGCCGATTTTTTTTGCAAATGATCTTTTTCGATTTCAATCATGGATCACACGTCATGGGGGGTAGGCGGACGCTTAGCGCGGTAGGTGCAATTGCAGTTGCGCTTTCAGCACGGCACCGGTAAGCCGCCGTTTCCTTTTCGCGCTTTCGCTTTCGCTTTCGCTTTTGTTTTTTTTTGCGTACTTTTCGCTATCCGCCGTGCTCGCTGTTGGGCGGCGAGTGGTTCTTCCCCGCGCTCGTTTTGGTAGGCTGTGTGTGTGGCCGGGGGGGTTATCGGGCGACTCGTTTGGGAATATCGCAATAATGATTCTCCGGCGTGCAGTTGTTCGTGGGAGGTTTGGCGCGCGTGTGGCGGGACCTCCACCGTGGCGAGGTGGCCTGCGGCAGCTGTATTTTTCCCCGCCGATCTGAAAAAAGCTTGTCTGCCGCCATCGCCAGTGTGTGAGGGAAAAACGTGGAAAACGAACAAGTTGATCGACGGACTTCTGGTACTACATAGTAGTAGCAGTAGCAGTAGAAGCTGAACGTCATCCCAGGCTCTCCTGTCCTCTCCTGTCCTCTCTTGTCCTCTACTGCGGGACTCCAAGGAAGGAAGTATGGCGGTGGCGATGGCGAGAGCCGCTTGCGCAGGTGCTGTGGCAACGCGAATTGGTAGGTCATCGGCAGGATCCGCCGTCTCGGCTGAGGGCGCGGAAGGTGCGGGATATGGCTCGGTGCTTCAGGATCGGTTATTGAGGGTCGGAATGATGAGGCCGCAACTAGTGCCACGTGTCGCGCGCTCAAATGCCGCTTCACCAAGCTGCTATTCTCGGCGAAAGAGGTCAGACGCCTTGACATCTCTCAGCTGTCTATCATCTGTGCTGAGCTCTGCGCTGCTCTCCTCCTTCTCCTTCCTTCCTTGCGCCCTCCCTCCCTCCCTCCCTCCCTCCCTCGACCTCGTTATCCTCTTCTATTGAGCTTCTTCTGATTGCGATGTCTGCTCCTCATCTTCCTCTTTTCTCTCTTCTGTGCTGGCAAACCGCAGATCCTTGGGCCTCTGTGACTCTTCTCTCTTCATACACGTCCTGAACGGTGTTTTTCTTTTTTTTTTTTGGATAATTTCTTGAGTGTTGCTATTTACTAATTTGTTTTAATGCCCGAAAATTAAATTTACTGGTTAATTGGTAGCGATCTCTCTTTTAATGCCCGAAAAAGGGACCACTGTCTCTCTGCATCTCTCATGACGTGTGCTTAGTGTCCCCCCGCCATAACCTCGTTCTCTTATGTGTTGTCGTCTCTGTGTGTGCGCGCTTACTCAGGCTTTCCCAGATTCTCTCCCTCCCCTCCTTTGTCTTTCATCCCGTCGTCATCCTCTTCATCTTTGTCGTGCTCTTCATTTTTGTGCTTTCTCTTCCTTTCTCACTCTTTCACTCTCTCTACTGGAAATCACGAAGTTGCATTACGTTTTATTTTTTTTTAGTCTGGAAGGGTTCTCCACTAATACAGCCTGTGTGATGTACAATAATATAATAGTAAACTAGTATCACCTAAGTGATGGTGATTGACAATAACAATAATTAATAATTTAATACTAATATTAATAATTTAATAATAATAATTGATAATTTAATAATAATATTAATAATTTAATAATAATAATTAATTATTTGAATGTCTCTGAACGAATGTACTGCGGACTAAACGCTATCATAGATCTTGCTTGATGTGTGTGGGCGATTTTCTCAGTGACTGTCGGAGAATGTCGTTTATGATCGTAGGCGGCATTAATAGCGAGAGTGCTGCCGTGTCCGTCCACGAAAGCAACCCACCGTGATCATGAATGTATACAAGGGATCTTCCCGGTCCGATACGGTTATGATGAGTGGTGGGTTGTGTTCGGGAGAAATCGCAACCGTCTTCCCCCGAACATAACGCACCCTCATTCTGACTGTATCTGGCCGGAAACATACCTTGTATACGTCCCTTTTCAGGGTGCGTTCGGGGGAAGACGGTAATAGTAGTAGTAGTAGTAGTAGTAGTAGTAGGTGTAGTAGTAATGGTCGTCCAATATGTCATACTTATTGTATGAATTGAATTGAATTCATCATAGAATGAATATTTAATTCGGCGACTGGAAAAACCCTGGTTAAGGTACGGTAGTCGCGAAATGAGATAATGCAGCGGCGAGGTCCCGCTTGCCAGGATTGTTCCTATATGGACGTTGATTTTTGTAGTAGACGGTCGGAAGGTGCAGAAAATCTTCGTAATTGCCGGGTAAGTAGGTCGTAGCCCCAGGGGCACAGTCCCACTAGCAAAGAGGATTGGATTCAGTGGCTGAATCTCGACGTGTTTGTGGAAAGGTGCAGAAAATCGCGATTGATCTGTTTTTCTGCATCTCTGCATAAAACACATCCAGATTCAGGCGCTAAATCCAATCCTCTGTGCTTGTGGGTTCTAGCCCTTGGTGAAGGCGCTGGCTCCGGCTTTGTCGTATATGTGCATTTTGATTAATAGAGCATCCGAGAAGTATAGTCCGCCGCCATCACCACCATCCATGCATCTGACTGGTTTTACGGTCAGATTCCATTCGATCACGCTGAGCAGGGGAGGGAGGAAAGGGGCGACGAGAGGGTGGTGGCACTGAACTATTCCCTACCGGTAGCAATTGTCTTTATATCCCTTTTTGAAAAGGGCAACAGCCTCTAGATATCATCGTAAATCAATTAATTTCAATTTTTTTTTTTTCTGTTCATCTGATTGCATCTGGGCTCGAACTTGGATCTGTATTTCAAGATCATTTCATGGGTGTACCAACTGTAGCTACCTTCTTCCCCCGAATACAACGTACGGTCATTACAGCTGTATTTGCGGCATGTTTCAGTCTAGATACAGCTATAATGACCTTACGTTGTATTCGGGGGAAAAAGGTAGGCCTGTTGGTAGGTAGCAATTTTCTCCACGATTTAAAAAGCCAGAATTATTTTTATTTTTTTTTCTTTCATTTGTCTTTCCTCTCCGGTAGTTTTTAGCTATGCTTGCAGGGGTCCCGTGTTTAGCCTTTTTTGAGTAGGTAGGTAGGTAGTGAAAGCACTGAATGGTGAAGTTGAGACAAGAATATATAGCTTTATTAGCTTAGTTAAAAAAAAAAATGGCGACGGCCTTGGGTTATCATCATCGAGGTGACAGGCCCCATGTAATAATGCCGTGGTATTTTTTATTCATCCGATTACATCGTGATTCGAACCATGGGCGTATCATCAGCGAGGTGACAGGCCTTGGTCTGTTTATCGACAGTTCCGCATGTGGGCGTACCCAGTCACACGCCCACATGCGGTGGGTGGATTTTTAAATTTTGGCCAAGCCAATGGAGAAGTCAAATTCGGACCTCGCTCCACTACTCACCAAACGTGCAAACTGAGAATGAATCTTCCGCTAGAACATGGAAAGATACACCGCCATATTTTTTGTCTTTTGTGCATGTGGTTAGTAGTGGAAGGAGGACCACAGTATGCTCCTGTCCTTGAAATTTTGGAATTTCGAAAATTATGGGGATATCACCCGGATATGAAAAAAATTGGAAAGTTTTTGGAATTTTAAGAATTTTGAGAGACTTGATAAATTTGGAAATTTCGCTGAGAATTTGGGAAATGTGGAAATTTCGCCCTCTACCACAGCTATAATAGGGGATCTGGGGCGACGGCCAGGCCTTTTTTTTTTTTTTTTTTTTTTGGGTGGCCCGATGGGACAACGGATCAGATATTAAACTGATCAGAACAGATACTACATTTGATCTATTTTTAGCCCAAAGGCCGAAAAATGTCTTAGTCCGTACCGTATCTATAACCCCGTGAGATTGGAAAAAATGGACAGCAAAACAAAAAAAAAAAAATCACCATTGGGTCAATGAGCTGTAACGGGATAGTTGTCATTCTGGGATCGATTGTTTTGGCCAGTCTAGTTTCATGCCAGTCAAGGGCGAGGTCCCACTTGCAAAGAGAATTGGATTAAGTGCCTGAATCTGGATGGGTTTTAAGCAGAGATGCAGGAAAAGCAGATCAATCATGATGTTTTCAGCACCTCGGCGTTGAATCCAATCCTCTTTGCTAGTGGGACGTCGCCCCAAGAGAGGCCTGTGTATCCATTTGCGAACGTGGTTTTCACTCAAAGCGCCAAAGCCTCGACCACTACCCGTCTTCCCCCGAACGCAACGCACCCCTATAATGACTGTATAGAACTAATTTTCCGGTCCGATACAATCGTGATGAGGGTGCTTTGTGCTCGGGGGAAGACGATAGCCTGGCCCAGGGCGGCTGCGAAAAAAACAAGAGTGCGGCCATCGAATCGCAATCGCGATGGCAATAGCGAGTCGGGACACAAGGCGTCGGCCTAATCGGATCCCTACGATCCCAATGTACTACGCAATTACCAAGAACGGGGATTGGATTGCCATTTCTAATCGGCAAGTGAACACCTTTCTTGATTGGTAATGGCATATCACTCTTGGTTGGTAATCACATGTCTTTGCTGATTGGTAATTGCATGCCTTTCTTGATTGGTAATTAATTGCATACCTTTCTTGATTGGTAATTGCGTACCTTTCTTGATTGGTAATTGCATACCTTTCTTGATTCTTCCTTGATTGGTAATTGCATGCATTGCTTGATTGGTAGTTACTGCATGCCATTGGAATCATCTGTTATGTGATTTCAGTAGCTACCGTCTTCACCCGAATAGAACGCCTGGTCGTTATAGCTGTATCTGAACTGAAAGTTGCCTCAAGTACAGCTATAATGACCAGTCGTTCTCTCTGGATGGAGACGGTAGCGGGTGCTGGCAGGCAAAAAGGTATGGCTGATGACGCTTGGTGGTTATGTATGCGTCGTCGTGATTGGACTCTGTTATTTGCCTGGTGTGAGGAAGAGTGACAACCTCCTGTCCTGCACATGGTTTGACAGGATGTCATGTCTGTTTGCATATCTGGTTTGCTTCCTAAGAATGAGTTACGTGAACATTTATAATTTTTGTATCAATGATAATGATGTTCGAACTTGTAAATTCATCAAGTATTCTAAGTTCATTTAGTATTCTAAGTTCATTTTATTATTCTAAGTTCATTTATGATTTAAATGAGTTAATACAACAGTTGTGACGCATAAGTAGCAAACCTGAGCGAATGGTGTACCTAAGGACTGCTCCGCAGTCTCCATCCAACATGGGCTCCGTGAAAGGCGGGTAAAACAGGACAAGGTGGACAGGATGAGATCAGGACTAATGTGGAAAGTGATGACTGAGTGACGTGATGACCACCAGACGGTAGGTCTGATAGGCAGCCTGAGGAATTGCACAGGGGAGGACCCTCCCCTTGCCTCGCCTCCCCGAGGGCCACCCTGCTGGGTGACTGGGTGCTGCTACCGTCTTCCCCCTAACACACCGCACCCTCATTTTGGCTGTATCTGGCCGGAAATATACCGTGTATACATTCATTTTTAGGGTGCGTTATGTTCGGGGGGAAGACGGTAGTAAGCCTCCCGGACAGCAGGGTGGCACTCAGAGAAAGGCCATGGTTTGGGGGGGCCGGGACCCCCTATTGCAGCTTCCCCCTCGTCAGGTGACTAGGTAGTACCACAAGGGTAAGGCTGTTCCCTTCTCTTGTTTGATCTCCCCCCTTCTCTGGATGTACAAACATGCTGGCCGGTGATAAGTAACCGGACTGCTGCCCCCCAGAATAGAAGCACTAGTACCTTTCCCGCGTGGGAAAATACCAAGCGCCTGAAGTTTCGGAGGTCAGGCCCGACGACGACTGCCGTTGATAAATCTGATCGGCGGCCATCGTTTCGTTTCGGCCGCTGCAAAGGTCGGACGCCTACCCGAGGCCCGCTATTTTCCCAGCGGGAAAGGAAAAAAAAAAAAAAAAAAAAAAAAAAAGGAATCCTCACGTGGAGATGTAGAGTGCCAGCTGTGGGTACCAACTTAGTTCGAAGCTGGAGTTTATCAGGCACAGGTCTGGAACCTTACTGTCTTCCTTCGAACGCAAGGCACCCTACTCATGAATATATTGCAGGATTTACCATCTTCACCTGAATAGAACGCCGCCCGGTCATTATCACTGTACCTTGGCAGGGAGTTCTGCCAAATACAGCTATAATGACCGGGCGTTCTATTCGGTTGGGACGGTAGTTGTTGTTGTTGTTGTTGCCGAGTTCTAGAGCTTAGCGACCATCAGTTCGCGAGGCTCGAACACTGCGCACCCTAATCATCATGAGTATATTATAGAAGAAGCTATCTGTCGGGTCCTATACGGTCATAATGGGCCTCGCTCCACTACTCACCAAATGTGCAAAATGAGAATGAAGAACATGGAAAGATGCATCCCCGTATTTTTTGTCTATTGCGCGTGTGGTGAGTAGTGGAGCGAGGCTTTATGAAAGTGAGTCGGTTGTGCTTGTCAATATCATAGACCACCGGGAGCTAGCGGGCTTTCAAACTGGTGTTGCATCTCAGCTAAGAAATAATGGGTAGTCAGCCACCTGTGATCACCGCAGCATAACGGCATCGTGCTCGGTGTCTTTTGTTTTCCCTTTTTTTTAATTTGTAATAATTTTTAATATTCCCTGTCGGACTTTTCAGTGTTAAATGCAGCAACATGCTACTCAGTTCCTTCCAGTTTTTCATAAAGAAACTGAGCAGCATGTTGCTGCATTTAACAAGCAAAAGAAACTGTTTAATAATCCACCCATGCTATTTTTCTTTTGCTTGTTAATATTTTTTGCTTGTGTTAAGCAAGTGGAGGACAATGAAAAAATAGCTCCGCAGCAAGATGCTGCTCACTACTAAATGCATGGGAGGGAAAAAAGGGTGATCAGCTCAGCAACACGCTGGTCGCGTTCTTCCGGTTTCATATTTTCATTTGCAAGAAAATGTACAAAAAAACAAAATTAAAAAAATGGACAGGCAGCAGCCAACTTCTACACGCGTTACTAAACGAGAAGGTGACAAACCGCCTGAATTTTTTTTTTTTTTTAATCTTTTTCCTGTTTTGGAAGTAATTGCTATGACTTGGAACTCCTTATAATCGGAGTGGATCAAGGAACGGTATATGGGAAACGGGAGTGGGGCCTGACAGGGCCCATGGAATAATATGGCAAGCCTACTGGACCATGGTAATGGACTTGGGTCCAGGGGGCAGGTTACCCCAACTACTTGTTGTTGTATAGGCTGCTTGGAGTGAAGGTGATGGCTAAATTTAGAACGTGTCCGTATGTTACTTAATTTACTAAGACTTTCCTGTGGTCCTTCGGGACATCCGTTAAAACTGGAGCGACACAGAGAAAGTTAGCATGGCCCCTGTGTGAGTATGACATACATTAAGTGACAATGTGCAATTCAACTCAAGATACAGAGAAAATTAGTTTGGCCCATGCACAAGAATGAGACATAAATTAAGAATTTCTTGTGCCAATGGGCCCGTGTAGTAGTAGTAGTAGTAGTAGCAGTAGTAGTAGTAGTAGTAGTAGTAGGAGGAGGAGGAGAGGTACAGAATGCAATCAAAGAACGCAAGTGCAGTTAATTTGAAGGAAGTCAAGTTACAGTGGTCTAAGTGACACTGTACAATTCAATTCAAGATATAGCATCAACGCACAGTCATCACATAGGTAATTGACCATGGTACCCTCCGCCAGTGCTGTAGTCCAAAAATATTTGTACATCTACAATCACCCCACGAACACAATGCACCCTCATCATGAATGTATACAAGCTATCTCTATGACCTGATACAGTCATTATGCAGATGCCCAGTCTTCATGGCCGAACTGGCGTGATTACTCATCTGTCGGATATGCTGATTGTGATACTGGTTGTAACCTTGTAGAGGACAACAGGGATGTGAACCCCTAGTCTTTTAGAGGTTAACGCGGATGTGGACCTGAGGATAATATATATTAAATCTCTTGTAGAGGACAACAGGGATGTGAACCCCTAATCTTCTAGAGGTTAATGCAGATGTGGACCTGGGATAATATATATTAAATCTCAATGATGCCCCATCAGCAGTTGTTTGATTATCATCAGCAATTGGAAGGTCATGACCGTTGTCATGGCTACCGTGCTGAACATGTCAGGCATGCTTCATCCCTCTGATGCAGAGAGTAGCTTAGATTGGCATGCCTATCTGGGATGAAAAGAAGGGCCCACAATGTCTTCCTGTGGGTGGTTATTTTGTGCCTTGGCTATCTGGGATGAAAAAATGGCCCACAAAGTCTCCCTGTGGGCGGGGGGGGAGGAGGGGGGGATTGGGGGGTTATTTTGTGCCTTGGCCTCTGCAGGCTCACCTGAATCATCCTGGCCACCTGTCTTTTCAAGCTTAGATTGGGATCCAGATGTGTGGACCCGATCCAGGCTGCATGGAGCATTGTTGGTGCACATGGCAAATTGCTCCACATTCTCCAAACGGTTGCATTCTTGACAAATATGTGTCAGTTGGCCAATTTTGTCTTGTTTGAAGCTTAGAAAGGCATTGTCACACCAGGACTTTTTTTTTTAATGGAATGCGACTGCAATTAAGACCACATTCTGTTTTTTTCTTTTTCTTTTTAAGACCACATTCGGTCGACTCCCACGCAAAAGCACCTGAATCATCCTGGCCACCTGTCTTTTCAAGCTTAGATTGGCATGCAGATGGCTGGGCCCTATCCAGGCTGCATGCAGCATTGTTGGTGCACAAGGCAAATTGCTCTATATTCTCCAAACGGTTGCATTCTTGACAAACATGTGTCAGTCTAGGCTATCAGAGTGGCCCTGGGTCACTTGCCCGGCCGGACCAAAAAAAATTCTTCTAAATTTCGTGAAAATTTTCGATCTGCCCCTGAGGCAAAAGTTGTTCAGTTAATTTTTCTTCATAACATAGTTTTTTTCCGGATTTTTTTTTTTTTTTTTTTTTGTGCTGGGACCTTCCCTGATCCTTGCACGGGCTGGCCACCCGGGGCCCGGGCGGCCCGGCTGGTAGCCTAGGTGTCAGTTGGCCAATTTTGTCTTTTTAGAAAGGCATTGCCACACCATGACTTATAAAATATTCATATGGAATGCGAATTCAATTAAGACCACATTCGATCGAGAATGTCGTTGTGGGAGTCTGTTCTTAGTCTGAGGACTAAGTTAATGATGTTTTGTCTTGTGATTTAGAAGACCGTAACTTGTGCCTCCTTTTTTTTTTCCCTTTTTGAGTGCAATGATAGTCGCTGTTGCTTTATTTTTTGTTTCTTTTTGCTTGAAAATGCCAAGTTGGGGGAAGTGTACTTTCACTGGATTCCAGCAATATTGACAAATATTAAAGAAGCGTTGATTGCATGATTACACCATACTCATTCTGGCAGCTGTTGTGGACTCACACCTCTCTGGGTCTTTGATATTGGTGCAGATGCAGTAAGAAAGTAAAGGTTCTTAGGAGTGATGATGGAGGTGGAGGAGCTATTTGCGCCGGAGCCTTTCAAGGTAGCACTTATCCAAGAGATTACTTGTTGGGAAAAAATTGGGTGTATGGCTGCAAGTGCAACGGATTGTTTGGAGGAGGGAGAGAGGGACTTGTCATCGGGGTGGAGAAGCTGGCCACTGGTAAGATCATCTGGGTTTGCAGGCCTTATCCTTTTTTTGTCTTTTTTTTTTTCGGATCATTTCTCGATTTATGCGTGTCATCCTTGCGCAGGGTCCATGTTAATGTCCTTTCTCTGTATCGTTCCAATCTTAACTGATGTCCTGGAGGGCCTTTATCCATTTTTGTTTCTTCCTTTGGCTGCCTTTCAGCCCTCACTCTCATTGCTGATTAGATAATAGGAAAAAAAAAGTGCTTTCAGGTGGTGATTTACACCAAAAGTGAGAGGGGGGGATCTCAAAGTGACAACCCCTGATGAAGCCACTGTTAGCTAGGATGGTGACATTACTAGTATATCTTCAACAAGAGAGAGAGAGAATCTGCGCGTCTGCTGACAGGAAACCAGCATTTAAGCGCTTAAAGGAGATGAGACTCAAGAGTGGTTGTGTTTTTGGGAAGCGTACCCCGCAGCCCTTTGGCCATGTGCACTTGGGGAAGCACGCAAATGCATGGTGGCCTTCATCCCTCTGCCTGCTGTTGGCCAAAACCAGCAAGGCCTTAGTCGGAGTGGTGAAGTACTACATCGGGGCAGATCACGATAGATCACCTATCGTATTTGGGACAGACGACTAAATGACATCTTGGTTACGGCGAGATCCAGTGGAATGATTTATGATTTTTTTTTACTGGAAGTCAGAGAACCCTCAGTACCTCCCTAACTCTGAAGAGACCTGGCAACAGGAAAGCACTGGCTACTTCGCCAGTAACCGGGAAGGGGTCTAGGTGTCTGCTTAGCCTGAGCAGGTTTTACGCGACACAGCCTAAAGGAACAACTCTTTAAAGGGGCGCAGACCGAGAGAGAGAGAGAGAGAGAGAGAGAGAGAGAGAGAGAGAGAGAGAGATCCATAACTCGAGTACTTGGTGCCCTGTGCCATAGTATAGAAATGTAGACAGAGAAAGTGAGGTTGAGGGAGATCAATCCTGTGGTGAGAGGTGAGAGTAAAAGGGAGGCTTACCTGACTTCTGACAGCTCCTTTTGCTTCTGAGGACCAACGAGGCCGGTTTGCGACATCAGCCTTCATAAAGCCACATGACAGTGCACAAGGACTGCTGACAAGTGTATTGCTGAGTTGCTGCTGGGTGAAACATCGGCTTCGTCATCTGTAGAGGGTTAGGTTCGAACACTGAGTTGGCAAGCAGAGACGGAGAGGCCTGGAGGTTGGAGGGTGGAAGAGCCGATAAATTTGTATTCGCTGCTTTATTATTGGAATCTTTGCTCTTCCTCTTCTGTTCTTCTCTATCTTTCTTGTAGTCCACTTGCTGCTTTCTATTGGTCACAGTTGTTGTGCGAGTTGAGTAAATGCAGGGTGTGGAAATTGTGAGTTTCTCAAAAGTGGGTTCACGACATCTTGTGCGGGTGTGGAGCAGAAAATGCCGGTGCCGTGCTTGTGTCACAATGCCTGCATTTCCGCATGAAGTTTATTGCTCTTGTTTGTTCCTGCAGAACGTAGAAAGTGACTGAAAGTGGGATGACTGTTGGTATGTTGCTTGGAAGCAGAGTCTATCACTTCTCGGAGGAGGAGAAGGCCCAAGTTGTTGGCAGGAGCTCGTGCAGATGCCACTGCTGCTGATAGCCAACAGGTACTCTCTGATTTGTACTGTGCCTTAGTCTGATGTCAGTGTAGCACAAAAAAAAAGTTACCCCACGAATAGAATGGAGCCTTTGAAAAGCGAAAAAAAAGAAAAGTTGGTTGTGATCTCTGTGGTTGGTGCTTGTTTCTGACACCAGTGTCTGTGTTGGCTTCTGTACTCACAAGCTGCAGACTGAATCCTTTTTCTTCATTTGGATTGCTGTTTTTAATGAATCTGTTTGTGCTCTTTTTGTTTTGACGTCTATCAAACTTGGCACTGACAGGGCTATGGTGTCGAACTGCAAACTCGTCAGGAGGTTGCTGAAGCAACTGTATTTCATATGTACAGACGACCATTACTATCACCCGGAACCACTGCAACGTTGCTCCACCAGGTGAGAATCTCTTGACTGTGTCATTCAGATCTGACTCAACAGAGCTTTACTGTTTGTTGACTGTATTGAGAGGAGGATGCTGTGATTACAGTTACAGATACCCCGTACACAGATGTTGAGTGCAGTGATTACAGTTACAGATACCTTACACAGATGTTGAGTGCAGTGATTACAGTTACCACATGCAGATTGAAATGAACCAAGTTCTAATCAAGTTTCACCTCGCGTATATCAATGAACATCACACGAGGGTTCACATGTGAGAAGCCGAAGCTGAGATACAATCAGCACATCCGGAAACGGCCAGCAAAATTATCATTATTATACAAGAAATGTTTACGTCTCCATTGGCGCTGCCACACACACACACACACACACACACACACACACACACACACACTTAGAACTGATCTCAACCGGATGACGACTATGGCTTCTCTCTCTCTCTCTCTGCAGTCTCGCTCTTCTCTCTGACTTGGCTTGCTCTACCTCGCCCTCGGTCTCTACCCGAGATAGTAACCCTGGATACAGCCACTCAGGTCACACTTGGCGGCTATGGCCGCTCTCCTTCCTATCTCCCTTTACCCTAGCTATGGAGTAACTCTCGAGCGCCCCTCCTCCTCCTGGCACGAAGTGCCCAAGTTGCCTTAATGCACAAGCAGCAGCAGTGCTTTCGCATCTTGCAAATGAGCAAGTGATGAGCCACTGCACTGTAGCAGCTAAATATAGGGCTTGACTTGGCTTGGCCTGCTTCAGACTGTTACCGGTCGGCCGTGGCATATGCTGGAATTGTTTGTCAGTCCGGTTACTTCTGGACTTTCCTGGGACATGCTGCAAAATTGGACTTGGGACTGTTGGACTGGACTGGACTTTTCTTGTTGGGTACCGGACAGACTTCTAAAGACCTATGACGTTTTGGTACTGACACCTACCGGCCTACGACGCTTTGGCCTCTGGACCCTACGATCTACCCTACTGGGACAGTCTGGGACTGGGACGTTTGGGACCTTGGAACTGGAACTCGGGCCGTCTGCAGTGTGAATCCTTTCAAGATGTTGAATGCAGTGATTACAGAGTACACAAATGTTGAGTGCAGTGTCTGCAAATTTTTTTTTTTTTTTTTTTTTTTTTTTTTTTTTTTTTTTTTTTTTTTTTTTTACCCCTTTTTTTTTTTCCCCTTTTTTTCCCCCGTTTTTTTTTTTTTTTTTCCATTTCCCCTTTATTTCTCCCTTTTCCTCCTTTTCCTCCTTTTGCTCCTTTACCTCCCGTTCCTCCTTTCTTTAAGATGGGCAACAGTGTTGAGATATCATCATTGAGCTGACCGGACCCAGGTGATTCATAGTTATTTTATTTTGTTCACCTGATGGTATCTGGATTCAGCCTCTGTAGGTCAAGCGTCCATGGATGTACCAACTGAGCTAGGCCCGTTGGTGCAGTGTCTGCATGACTCTGCAGTGCAAAAGTTAAGAGAGCAACTAATTCGAGTAAGAAGGAAGTGGAGCACTTTTAAAACTTGCAGGCTTATGGGTAGAATGAGGCACATGGAGTCTTGCGCTGTTTGGCCTAGGGTCCGTTGTTGGATTTGGTGTCCCACCAGGCAAGATTCAGAGTTGGGCTTTCAGGGTACCTCCAGCTGTGCTTGGCTGTGCAATGGCTACACGTGTCAGCAGTGTGTTTTATGCTTTGTGCCGTCTCGTCTCTTTGGTTCATGATGGATGATTGACAAAGCTGCGTGTATGTTGCAAGAAAGGGGAAACAGCGAAAGTTACAACGGAGATGTTGGGATCTGTCATGGCTCCGTGCTGTTGGGATCTTCAATGATTATGGCATTTTTGTGATGTGAAGTGGTGATGAGGTGAGAGTGAAGCGAGGGTAATAAAATAGAAAAGGGGAAAGGGAAACTGTTATGTTATGTAAGCAAAATTGTTCCGGGATGTAATAAAGGTTTCCCTGAGTGACTGCACGGCCTGTCCAGGATCCTTAGCCTCGATTGATGGTTGGTGTTGAATTCCTTAGCTGAAGGAACCAGTCTTGACTCAACAATCAGAAGAGAAAAGATGGGGGAGCTCATGGTTTCCATCCTCTAAAAAGTGTATGGATTTTGCGGACGAAAGGCCATGGTGGATGTGGTGGAGATAACATGAATGAGATCTCGACAGCTGAATCAGCCAGGACTGTGGAAGGAGATGCTTCAGAAAGTGGGGCCGGATGAAGAGCCAAATGATGACTTGAGCGACGGCTGTCATGGGCACACCAAGTCGATGATTGGCTTTATCTAGCCCTAGAACACAATGGTGTGTGTGTGTGTGTGCCTGCTCGCGCGTGTGCGCGTTAGCATGCACACATGCATGAGTGCTTCCTTTGCATATTAATGTTGCACCGAAGAGAAGGATCTTTTGTTCCTCATACTGTATGTCAGGAGATGGAAGTGCATTAGCACTCATGCACACAACCTTGTCTGAGAAGAGGTTAACAGAGCCCTAAATTTTCAGGGTTTTTCAGGGTCATTATAATAAACGTCCTGGGGCTGAAAAGTGGGGGTCCCTGTTAACCACTTGTGCCTTGTCTGTATGATGCATCTATTTGCAGGTCCAGAAGAAAGTCTCAGGGGAAATTGAAGCAATTGAGACAGAACAGGTAAGGACAGGCATAAGAAGTTCAGATTGACTTGCTCTGATGTCCTTGTTCCAACTTCTTGCATCCGGGTGCTTACACTGTTGATGAGCTGTGCTAATGTTGCGGGGCGGGGACGTAATTGAAGGGGTTGCACCATTGCGGCTTTCTAGGTGAAGTTGTTGCTGAAATGAAGTGGTTGAAACTTGACAGATGATATCCCTACTCGACTATTATCTTGGCACGAGGGAGTCATTTCAATTTGATGTCGAACGCTCAGCATCTTCTTGATAATGGGCATGTGATAACACACTGAAGTGCTCCGGTATTGCTGTGGTGACTGTCAGCCTAGCATGAGTCATAGTAGTGCTTGTAGTGATTTCTAAGGCGGAGATGTTTCAACTGACATTGAACATTGAATGCTTGGTGTCTACTTGATAATGGACATTTGATAACTCACTGAAGTGCTTCAACATCGCGGTCGATGAGCCACTGGACGATCGAGCAATGGAGAAGCTACGGTGGCTGCTGAGGGAGACATATGAGCAGGATATGCTGACTGATGAAAGTGGACTCGCATGGCCAAGTTCAGGTGAGTTCGTGTGAAATGGGAGCCACCTTTTTGTATCCATTCCCTTCGACATACCTTCTGCTCTCTCCCTTAGTGTTTTCATATTGTCCTGGCATACTTTGTCTTCCTGCTGTGCATTTTCCTATGCAGGGCCCATAGTAACAGTCGATTGTTTGCTGCTGCTATTCCTGTTACGCCAATGCGGTTTCACTGTTTTTTCTAAACCACTGCCTCTAAACCACTGCCGCTGTCTGTTCGTGTTGGCATTTGTAGGTGGGAGAGCCTCTGCAGTGGTGGAAGTTGGACCGCGTCTGTCCTTCACAACTGCTTGGTCAACAAATGCAGTGTCTATATGCAGAGCATGTGGTTTGTCTTCAGTGACTCGTCTGGAGCGGTCGCGGCGGTATAAGCTGATCATGACCCCAGGCTCAGCCCCTCCCTCGACAGAAATGCAGATCAAGTTCGCATCAATGGTATGTCTGAGCTTCTTGTTATCCTGGCAGGGCCCATTCCTAGTGGTGGCTTGCGATGTTTCAAAAAGCTAATATGGGGGCTTTATGGATCCGTTATCAGTCCAGCGAAGCCAAAGGCATGATAGTTCAGGTTTGGCATTCTTATTACAAAGAGGGTGTAGTACTGGGTGTACTGAAGACAACTGATTTTTCTTTCTCCTGTACTGTTAGACAACTGATTTTTCTGTCTCATGTACTGTTAGATAACTGATTTCACCATGTATTTCTCTTTCATGGGAAGCGCTTCACCCAGCAAGTTCATATGACGGCAGAAAAAAAAAACAAAAAAAACACAGGGGATGATCTTCCCGGGCTACGGTTTTGCACAACTCCAGATTCATGAGATGCTGATCACACAGGTGCACAGAGGCGCACACTTTTCCATGGTCAGCTGCTCATGCATTGGATGATCTAAGGTTATGAGAGAGTAATCGCACACACACATACTCAAAGGTCTGGTTAGCCATGGGACATAGACTACTTTCTTGGACGTTCTCGACAAGGGTTTGGACCAAGTCTGGTAGGGTTATACGGTTGGCGTTAGTGAAGTTCACCTCTAATCTCGTGGTTGTCGCTAACCCTGGGTGACGCCACAAGTCCTTATCCATCAGGCAAATGTGTCCTGGGCAGACTATCAGGGCTCAAGCTCCTGATGAGTCAGTGAAAGTCCAACGAAATGACCTGCTGCAGTCATTATTTTTTTTTGTGAAATTGTGTATAGAGAACGTGACAACATGCACACATACATCATCATGCATATACAGACACCCATACACACAAAGGTGCCACGGGTGTGTGTCATTCCCTGCTGACTTGCAGCAATCACCACACTCCCTAGACCCAAAGCTTGAAACGTGGCCTGAAATCTTGCACGTGTAAACGTTTTCATCCCCTATGTGTGAGTAGCCCAAGCAATAGCGTCTTCTTCATGCGCAAAGGGATGTTTTCTGGAATTGACCCTTTCTTTTCTTAATCCTTAGATTCCTTACCCATTTTTAGCTTGTCAGTACTCATGAAAGCGGTAATTTTTGTGGAGATCGTACTGGCGGTTATGTCAGGCATTGGAAGGATTCTGGTGCTCTGTGCGGTGCTCCTGTGAACCTTTCTCTTTCTTTTTCTTTTTCTTTTTTTTAAAGGAGAAACATCCGGTGACGCCTGCGGTCCCATGGTGGTACGAGAACCCACGAGATTGAGGCCTTCTCGTGGATGGCTCCGGTCCGTTGGTGGAGAGCTACACCTGCTGGAACTCGGGTCCCTTATACTGAACAAAACAACAGAACTACCGGGGCTATTACCCAGCTTCGCTTATGGTAACCTCTGCAGACTGACCTCTCAGCCCGTGGGCTGTCCGATCTAATCTAGGCCCGAGCCAAACTGCCCAAGACTTCGACACTGGCATCTGGGTAATTCAAAGGCTCCGGCTTTTCTGTTTAAACCCTAAATCCTACCCAACCAAGCCTCTTAGAAAACAAGACCTCCTCTAAGGTCCCCTCTGCTCAAATACAAAGTGGGGCCACATTGAAATGGTTCACAGGCCTGGGTAGGGTTTAGGGTTTATGCAGGCCTGTGAACCATTTCAATGTGGCCCATTTTGTATTTGAGCAGAGGGTTTCTGCATGTGCCCTCGATAGACCAACATAAGGGGAAGCTTGGAGACTTGTAATCCTGTCTTTGCTTTTTTCTCAGTTCAAGGAAGTTCTCTACTGGTATGTGCGCTCATCTTAATGCTGCGTGGGTGATTGTAAACCTTTGCTTATCTTTTTGTGGATAGCACATTTGTTTGCATCTGGCCGTATGTGAATTGATCATAGAGATGGTTTGCGTGTCCAGGTTCATGACAGAATGACGGAGTGCATCTATCCAAGCCGCCTGACGAGTTTTGTGACTGATGTCACACCAGCTCCAGTTGTCCGCATTCCTATTCTTGAGGTAAGAAACATACCTCTCATTAGCAGGGCGGAGAAAACAAGATGTGTCTTAACGAAGCTGAAACACTCCATTGGATCTAACGCACACAACATGTCAAATTCAGAATATGTGTGCTTACGAAAGGGCTCTGGGTATGTGTTGTGGAATTGGGGCCCCCAAGGTGAATGTGGACTGCGATAGGAGGTGTAGAATGGATGTGGAATAGATGTTCCCACGGATCTTGAGTGAGCATTGTCTTTGCAACTTTGCATGGGCTAGGCAGCACTTGCAGGTGCAGTAGGTGTAACGTGGACATTGACTCCTGCATGTGAATGTATTCTGAGAAATCTATGTGGAGTCGATGTTGAGCTGCCCGAGCAGATGAAGAGGCATGGACTTTGGTTGAAACGGTGTGAGCTTGGATTAGCGTGCCGTGCTTAGTTTGCAGCTGTGCCACTGCGAGATCCCGTCTGGGTTTCCCATTCAATATAAATCAAGATGATAAAAATATAGATAAGAAAATACAAATTTAAAATAAAAGTATATATCGAATTTACAGATTGATTCCTTTCAATAAAATATGAATATATAAACATTGATACATAAAATATCACTTATAGATAGATATATATTAGAATAATAGATATTTTGATTCTTAACTGGTAGTCTATTTCAACTTAATTCTTTAATTTCATGCAAATGAGACTTGGCGGGTCTCTTGGAGGCAATCGAAATCACATCAATAATCTCTATTATTGATGTGATTTCGATTGCCTCCTTGTCAGAGGACAATACCGTACCTTGCAAATAGTATTGTAGCTATCTCTTGAGAGAAGAAAGATCAGCATGAAATTTTGATAAACACTGTAGTTCCATATGCTACATGAAGTTCGTATTGTGTTTGCTATCTTGTGCAGCCAGGTCATGGGGAAGCTCTTTTTCTCGCCATCTCTGTGTCTTCTTCAGGTCGTTTTAACAGACTGTAGAAATGGTGCAGGATTCAGCAGGATTCAATCAAGTTGACATTTTCATGCGCACTGACATCAAACAAGTAACACACAGGCTTGAAGGCAACACCTCGCTTTGGGAGCTTGATGATACTGGTTGAAAATTATGCCCTCCTTGGAGCCAGACCGCCCAGAGAATGATACAACAAATGGGGAGCAAAATGATAAGGTCTCTAGAAACAGGCAGGGAGTGCTGTGCCCTCACCTTGCAATCACAAGCTGATGAGCAAAAACGTTTTTCCTCTTGATTGATTCCAAGATACCTAGAATGAATTGACGGACTGGGCAAACAGTTTTGGCGAAGACGCTCGGCCTCATAACCTCTCCTGCCTACAGCCTACTGGATCAGTCTGGATACGTAGAACCTACTGAACTACCAAACTAGGGCTCAGAACCTAGCGCCTACACTACAAGAAATAAGACTGAAATGGACTCCTCCTGGCCAGGGACTGAGTCCCGGAAGGAAACTATGTTGAGCTTGCATTTGAACTACAGGCAATTTGAGGCAAAGAAAATAGGGTAGTCTCTGCTTGATGTGGGCTTTTCGGGCTGGCCTTTGGAGTGGTGGAGGGGTTGTTTGTTATGGATCCGGTGAGGGCTCCATCCCTTGGCCTCTGGTGTGTTCTGGGTACCAGGGCATTTACATGTGTTCCTCAGGCATTTTCTGTTGGTACCCTGCTGGTATCAACCTATCCAGGCATACCCCTGAGGCCAGCCCAGCCATTGGGCTGCTCCCAGGTATATCTGTACGAGTCACACACACATGTGTGACATCTTGTGCTGTACTGCGGTTCAGACCATTTTATGTCAGTTCAACATTGAGTTGCTGCGGGTACTCTTCTCCGAGTATCGGGTCTTTGTTTATTTATTTTAAATCCCAGTCGACCCAGTGATAGTCACACGGTTGTTCATCTGTTGCCTTGCTATGTCAGCACCAAATCCGACCAATGGATTTGCTTTATTGCCCCTGATTGCAGACTGTGCTGGCAGATGGCCTCATGACTGTATACGGAACCTGGAGAACAGGTTGAATGCCTAATCAGCTAATCTGTTATAGGGTTATTTAGCTCGTACACACGCCGATGAGATCTTTCAGGAAAGATAGCCATGAATTATCTCTGAAAATGGCAGGTGACTGATTGGATAAGCTGAGTTAGTTGTGTCACAATGGATGCCAGTAGAGATTGAGCGCCGAGTGGGCATGTAGGCACAGGTTGTGTAAGAGTCAGTGGGCAAGTAGGAAATTTCTCTGCTCACCTGTGCTCGTTGCGGAGATATCAAAATGTGAAACCCTGTGCAAGCCATGAGTCAAGTTATCCAGACTCTGTATTGAACTGAAAAAGTTGCTGTAATGAGTGGGTAAGAGTTCCCTGTATCAGTCTATCCAATTATCCAGATTGTGTGCAATAAATCCGTATCCACTCCATTGGGAGAAGCAATTACGGTGGGCACCACACACAAGAAAATCCGTTAAAATTGGAATGATGCAGAGAAGATTAGGATGGCGCTTGTCACACATACATTGAGAAGTGGTAAAAGAGAACAAACAGAGGGAAACTAATATCACTGAAACCACCTGTGGGTGTGCTTACATGCGTAATATGTTGACTTCCCTGCATCAGTATGTATAATTATCTGTAACCTATGAGCAACAAATCAATGTCCGCTGCAGAGGAAGAAGCACTTACTCTAATACTCAGAATAGCACTTAAGGCACTTGTGGGTGTGGTTACGTGTGAAACATGGTGCTCAACTCTGCCTTGCGAGATTGTGTGCCCAAAATTGCAAGTTATACTGGTTGATGTGGTCATGATAATCGCAATGACCACAGTTTTGGAGTAGAAGAAGACCTTGCATGTGTGCGACTCAACTTTGGGGTAGAAGAACTTGCACCTGCGGCGATTCCCAGGTGTGATTGATTAAGGAAAGGTGCAGAATGCCAGTGAAGTCATTCATGTGTTTGCTAGCCCTCATTCACAACTGACATTGACATTTTCGGCGCTGAATTGGTCTTGGTAGGAGGGAGAGGCGGCACTGCGGGCGATCAACAAGAAGATGGGTCTCGCATTTGATGAATGGGACATTCAGGTGGGTTCGGTCAGGCACATACCTTGCAGTCAATAATTAAGATGGAGAGCAGATATGGTACTCCACATATCTACTTCATTTACGACTTTGCTATTGGTGCTTGCAATCCGTTTTTGCATCATTACTAGTTGTTCATACTCTAAGAACTAAACCACTGCTATCTTTGAGGGCCTCTGCTTTCTCTCCTGGTGAAATGGTAATTGTGAGGAGGAGCGTGACAGGACACCCCTCATGAAATTATTGAGACCCTATGCAGGGCCACAAAATGACAAATCGAAGAGCCTTCAACATGATATTGCCTCTCGGACACGGGGGATAGAGTGCGGTCTTAGTGCCTCTTGTTACCATCATATGCTGTGGTATGTAGAGTGCCACTAAACTCTTCTGTAGATAAAATAGCTTTTTATCCCTATTTTTACGGTGCGCCGTCTCACAACCAATTTCGATGGGCTTTCAATTCAATCAAAGCCTAGCTAATGTCACTCCCATTGTGCAATGTGGCTTAACGCATCCAACTCACCCAATTGGGACCATTAAACTGTACTATCGTGAACTCACAACCGGTTGTTTCGGTATTTCAAAGGATGTGTGATGGAGCTTGCTGAAAAGTGTTTTTAAATTGGATGTTTAAGACTTTTGACTTTTTAATGTGATTATATATTTTGTCAAATGTGAAAAAACTGAACACCCGAAAGTGTGTTTTCAAATTGGATGTAGAAGAGTTTGATGTATGATCATTTATCCCTGATTATGACATGGGAACATCCGATTGAAATTGAAAGAACCAATTGTCGTTTAAGTTGATTTAACAATTCATGCAATGAGTGGGAAGCAAATGGTGTGTCTGAGGAGTCAAGCCCAAAAACTGTGTCAGAGTTTTTGAAGAGTGTACCAGTGTTTCATACCCCGACAGTCGGCGCCCCTTGACCGGTCGGCTGGTCGGCACCTACTGGTCGGGGGTCGTCGGCACCCCACATTTTTTTATTTTTTTTTGGGTCCAGAACCCCCAATAACCCCATCAACACCCCCGTACCCGCCCCCAATACCCCCATACACCCCCTCAAAACCTCCAAACCGCCCCCCCAACACCCCTTATACCACCCCTGCACCGCTATTAGGCCCATCATATCCCCCCCAATCCCCAAAAGTTTCTCAGCGGATTTGGGCTGTACTCAGCAAGGGCAGTACAGCCCCCAACTCAGATTTGAAAAAAAAACAGTGGATGGCTCTTTTCTGACCAAACACGAACCTGTTCGCCTTTCCCGCACTGGCGTTCTTAAGCCAAGAGCAGGCAAGGTTTTTCAGAGATTTTCCTTGCAAAAGTTCTGTCAAAATGTTTCGCACACAGACCCGCAGTATACAACTGGCTAAAAGGGGGGAATGGGCAGCCCATCCGCCCTCTCCTTCAGAACTTCACAATGCGGAGGTACCCAACAGAATGTTCCCCAAACAATCTGGTTGGTGGCCAACAGCATTGTGCCGAGAAGATAAAGGAATTATGAAAAATCGTATCAAATGATTCAAATTTCTAAAAATCGCTTATGTATCTCTTATCGACTTGCTGGGGGAAAGGAACCGGACTGTTGCTCCCCAGAATGGTAGGAGCCAGAACCATGAGGTCTTATTAAAAAAAAAAAGAAAAAAAAAAAAAAAGAAAAGAAAAAGAAAAAGGGGGGTCCAGATTCAGTTCTCGAAAACAAGCTCAAGCATGTGTCTCACGGCTCTGCCGTGACATCATCAGGGTGATTTGAGCTGGAGTGCTGGTCGCTGTAGGTTGGACGAGTGGCAGAGGACAGAGCAGTGGTGGTTGTAGAAATTTACAACGTTGGAAAATATGATAAAATTCATTTCCTTTATCTGACGGATTGGGCGAATGTATTTGCAACTTCTCAGTTCTCTGAATGATCATGTTCGTAATGTCGTTTCTTATTTCCATCTTTGTACTCCTGCAGTACTACACAAAGCTATTCAGAGATGATATTAAGAGAAACCCAACAAATGTTGAGCTGTTTGATATCGCCCAGTCCAACAGTGAGCATAGTCGTCACTGGTTTTTCAAGGTGAGGAGGTCAGACATCTGTTCCCCAAGCATCCTTTTCCTCCTCCTCTTACTGCAGCTGCTGCTGCTCCCTCTGCGACTGCTTCTCCTTCTTCTCCTTGCTCTGCTTCCCTTGGGTGGTCGATTCTGAGGTGTCTGTTCCCCACCCACGACAGCTTAACTGCAGCCCATACCATTTTGTGCACGAGTCGTCTCTCTGTGCCTACCATCTGATCTCTTCATGTCCCTCATTTGCTTTGTGAGCTTCTGTTGTGTATCATTCCTCGGAAGCTGCAGGAACTCCAAACACCCACTTTCGGGGATCAGTTTGAGCTCCACGGAGCCCCCACCTTTTTTCTTCTTTTTTCAATCTTTTATCATCTCTCTCCTACAAGCGTTTGACTGTGGCATGCATGCAAATTTGATGTTGGAGTGTGAACCTTTTCCGTAATCTTTGACCATCTGGCATGACACAACATCCCTGGCACAGCAGCAAACGAGTCTGGCCACATGTGATGGTTCTTCACTGCTTGACCATACTTTTCTGTATCGTGAAGCCAAGAAGTACATTCTTGTGGAAAAAAAAAAACAGATTATGCGGTTTAGAGCATCACATGGGTGCATGTGCTGTATGCAGGGATATTCTTTGCATGGTGATGATTGTGTATTTCAAATCGGTCGTTTATGTGTGTGTGCCCTGAGCCCACTGGCATGCATGCTTCCATGTACTCTCATGTGTCGCGCCCTTCCCTCTACTGCTGTGAAAGAGCTTTGCTCCATTCTATGACAGGAAGTGAAAATGCAAGTTTCTGATGCAATGTTTCATGGAGGCTCTAGTGGAAGTTTAGCCCTTTTAAATGTTGAAAATATAGCCTTATGGGTTACCATAGCGATGGCTTCGCACTGGTGTGGATAACGTCATGCCAGTCCACCACGCACTAAGAACCGAGCTAATCAGAACCTACCGTCTTCACCCGGTCAATATACACCCGGTCATTATAGCTGTATTTGGCACAACTTTCGGCCCAGATACGGCGATAATTACCGGGCGTTCTATTCGGGTGAAGATGGTAGTGTAAAGGGTGGAAACATGGAAAGTGTGCAGGTGCCGGAAGTTATGTTTTGTTTCAAATTCTTCCTCAGAGATCCTGGTCTCCCTGGCTGTTCCCTCATCCTCTCAGGCACATCCTGTCGTTAATCTTTATGTTGATGCTCCCTTACTACGATATCAAAATGGATAATCAAATGTAACAGATGATAGAACCTATAGGCCAGGGGGATTGATAAGCGGAATGAAGGTTGTCTTTTTTTTTTTTTTTTTTTTTTTTTTGTGAAATGATTCAAATGAATGAAATTTGTTGCATTAGGTTATTGTGGATTTGAATACTAGGTACTGCAATGGTCCTTCCAGTGTGTTCCATTATGCCTAGGGACAACAAATTTTCCTTAGTGGTTATTCTTTGCTTGGCTTGTCTGTATAGGCGCAATTAAATATTGATGGTGAAGCTGTTCCAGAGTCCCTGATGCAGATTGTGCAAGCTACGCTCAAGGCGAACCCCAATAACTCAGTGATAGGTTTCCATGACAACTCAAGGTATTCCAAAGTGCTAATCCCATTTCTGAATTTGTTTTTTGGGTTTCGTTTGCAACTTCCTTTGTATACCTTTTCTGATGTTTTGGCTTGCAATCTGTTTGAGGGAGTGACACATTCAGTCAGGTTTCAAACAAACGTGAAATGTGAAACTATCTCAAGGCTGTCTCCCTTCTTTTTTAAAAAAGAGAAGGTAAAAAACAGATGTATGGTTTGTCATCTGTGACATGAACAATAAGGGCTTGCTCGGCGCCACATGGTTGCAAATTTTTGGTAGCTTGTGCACACATATGCAGATATGTAACTCTTTTCCGTATAAGATTGAATTCAGACAAATGTGGGATGTGCCGTGTTTCCATCATCAGGCGAACAATTGTACATTCTCTCCTAACGGCACACATGGAAAATTGCTGGAATCTTTCTTAAGCATGCTTAATGGCCAAAATGTGGCACATTTATCTGCATTTACATGGGAAAAGGCCAGTATTCTCTTTGGTAAGGAACATTGGGTAACCCAGTGTTACATGCATGTGTGGCAGCCGGCATTACACAGTGCATCTCTGCCCCAGGCCCTTGTGTGCATCGACAGTCGAACTCAACCCGGGGCAGCATGGGGCACATGCTGAGGGTTAATGGTTGGGTTAGAGGCAGAGTGAGCGGCATTCATCATGACATCGAGGGGCATGCAATGTGGCGATATGATATGCTCTCTGAAGGGTACCGTATCGAAGATATCGAAGAAGGTATTAGACGATAGTCAGAAGTTGTAGGCCACTCATGGGGCAAACTCTTGTAGAGGGTACGGCTTTGTTTTGTTTGATGAGTGCAGGGTCTTTGGAGAAGATTGAGTAGTAAAGGTGCAACTGAAGGTCCTCCAGACAAGGACTGAGCACCGGTAGCGGAAATGGACTGAGGAAATGGACTGAGGCTCCACCAATCAACCGAGCCTCAGGCCCTACATTGAAGCAGAGACTCCACCAATCAAAACCAGGGACCTGTGCCCAAACCAGTTCTATTCTGGCTCACATTTCCTCTCCTTTATGATGTAGGGCCTGAGGCTCGGT